TCTAGCTGTACTGGACTCAGTCTGGTGGAGGCCTTGGTAGCTGTGGTCCATTAGTCCTTTGGACTAATCTTTTCCTTGTATCCTGTTCTCTTCACTCTCCCTTGCTCCCGAAGGGATGAGACCATATAAGATGCTTTTAAGACTAGCTCGTAGCTTGGCCATTTTAAAATCTTATATGGATAAAGCATGATTTTTTGATGTTGTTCTGTTAAAACCATAATAAATGCATTCATCATTTAAATAGAAAGGGAAAAGGAAAAAGAAAACTCAATACCTGTTTTGTAACAAATGCTTTACATATTACCTATTTCCCCCATTTTATAGATAAGTTAATTGAGGATCAGAGAGGTGATACAGACAGTGAGTGGCTAAATAAAAATTTCAACCTGTTTGTGTCTGACTTTAAGACCCATATTGTTGTTAGGTGCTGTTGAGTTGGTTCCAACTCATAGCGACCCTATGTACAACACAATGAAACACTGCCCGGTCCTGCGCCGTCCTCACAGTCATCCTCACAATATGTTTGAGCCCATTGTTGAAGCCACTGTGTCAGTCTATCTTGTTGAGGGTCTTCCTCTTTTTTGCTGACCCTTTACTTTACCAGGCATGGTGTCCTTCTCCAGGGACTGGTTCCTCCTGCTCCACGTCCAAAGTATGTGAGATGACATTTTGCCGTCCTTGCTTCTAATGAGTATTTTGGCTGTACTTCTTGCAAGACAGATTTGTTCATTCTTTTTGCAGTCAATGGTTTATTCAACATTCTTCGCCACCACCGTAATTCAAAGGCATCAGTTCTTCGGTCTTCCTTATTCATTGTCCAGCTTTCACATGCATATGAAGTGATTGAAAATACCTTAGTCCTCAAAGTGACATCTTTGCTTTTGAACACTTGAAAGAGGTCTCTTGCAGCAGATTTGCTCAGTGCTTTACGTCATTTGATTTCTTGACTACTGCTTTCATGGACATTGATGAAGACCCATGCCCTTTGCAAACGTCCTTTTGGTATGAGCTAAATTGAAAATAGAATTTTCTTGTGAATGACATTTTTTAATCTCTTTTTTTTTAAAAACTTTCACTTTCACTCTTGCCAGGCCTGTCGTTTGGGTTTCTGTTGGACTTTTCTGTATAAAAATGACATATGTTCCTTGTCACTTAAACATACAGAAAAGTATAAAGGTGAAGAAATAAATCTAAAATCAAACCAACTATAGGTAGTCAGTCTTGATATTTAAGATTTTGTATTGCATTTTCTAAGTAATTGAAATCATATATAAAAGCATTTCTTTATATAATTGGTAACATATTTCTTGATATGTATGTAAGTACTACTAATGTAACTAAACTGAAAACTCCACAGGGCAGGGATGTTCAGTGTTCTGCTTGCCAGTGTATGTGTCTGGGAAGCAAATCCTTAAATACTTATTGAATGCTCCCTTCTAGCTCTAATATGCTGTCTTGAGGAAGTGGCGGGTTATTTTTTGCTTATCTTTGATTAGGAATGATAGCGTGTCAAACATTAGTGGTGAGTATAATGCAGTGTAGCATCATTGGTGATATACTTTAGGTTCAGTATGAACTTTGTATTTCTCAGTTGATACTCTGAGAAGATATAAGTCCAGATAAAATGTGGTACAAGAAAATCTGGTTTGGAATCCATGGAGAAGCATGCATGTATTGATTGGTATTCTTGTTGACATGTTGTTGTTAGTTGCTGTTGAGTTGATTCTGACTCATGGTGACCCCATGTGTGCAGAGTGGAACTACTCTATAGAGTTTTCAAGGCTACGACCTTTGGGAAGCAGATCGTCAGGACTGTCTTCCGAGGCGCCTCAGGCTGGGTTTGAACCACGAGCTTTTCGACTAGTGTTCAGGTGCTTAACTGTTTATTATCACCCAGGCCAACCCAGTACAGCTAGGTGCTTTAATCTTTAGCTAGATTCCCTAAGTGGTACAAATAGTTAATATACTCAGCTGCTAACTGGAAGGTTGGAGGTTTAAATCCACCCAGAGGTGCCTCAGAAGAAAGGCTTTGTGATCTACTTCCCCAAAAATCATCCATTAAAAACGCCGTGAAGCACAGTTCTACTCTGACACGCATGGGATCTCCATGAGTTGAAATTGACTTGATGGCAACTGGTTATCTTTAAAGAAACATAGAATATTGGTTAATGACTCTTTTGTTAGTCAACAGTTAATTTTGTCACTAGCTTAACTTTTGAAGAAGTACTTGCTGGGTAAAGTTAGCAATTTTTCAATTTTTAGAGTTGTTTTGCGAATTAAATAAAGTAATGTATATGAAGTTACTTTAAAGTAAAACCCATTGCCATTGAGTTGATGCCTGACTCATAGCAACCCTATAGGACAGAGTAGAACTGCCCCATAGGGTTTTCAAGGCTGTAATCTTTAGGGAAGCAGACTGTGACATCTTTCTTCCATGGAGTGGCTGCTGGGTTTGAACCGCCGACGTTTTGGTTAGTAGCTGAGTGCTTAACCACTGTGCCACCAGGGCTCATAAATAATAATGAGCATTATTATTATTAGTTGTGACATTAGACAGATAAGTTTCTCTTTATGTTTGTTCATCTAAAAAGTGAGCTTAAAGTCACTCCCAAGGTTCACTGTTCAGCCGGGGATTGGACAGCCCCATAAAAGAAAATGGGACTAATGAGGCACAGCAGTCTAGGGACAAGGACTAGAAGGCAAGAGGGGCAGCAAAGCTGGTGATAGGGAACCCAGGTTTGAGAGTGGACAGTTTTGACATGTCATGGAGTTGTTAACCATTGTCATAGGGCAATATGTGTACTAACTGTTTAATGAGAAACTATTTGCTCTGTAAACCTTCATCTAAAGTACAAAAAAAAAAAAATTACCTGTGTGAGATCAAATTGACAACAGCCACTCAAAAAGTTTGATGGGAAGCCTAGGGGGTAGTGAGTGTAAAATAATGGTCATGGAGTAATTTGGAAAAGGATAGTGAGAATAGCACAACTGGAACAATGTAATCAATATCACTGAAGTGTACATGTAGAAATTTTTGAAATGGTGTATCTTGGGCTATGTATATTTTCACCAATAAGAAAAGGTCCTCCAAGGTCGAGGAGGGAGAGTGTCGACATGTTGTGGGGTTGTTAACCAGTGCCATAAAACAGTATGTGTACCGACTGTTCAGTGAGAAACTATTTGTTCTGTAAACCTTCATCTAAAGTATAAGAAAAAAAAAATTTTTTTTAAATAAATAAATAAAAAGTGAGCTTAAAAATAGTATTTTCCCTTAACAGGTTATCATGGAAATTAGATGAAGTAGTAATTCATGCATGTAAACAGCCTGGTATATAGTAAACCCTTAAAAAAAATATATACATTTATGTTAACTATTATTAAATTTTTTCAGTCTTTTCCTTAAGTTTAAGAATTTTTAAGTCATTATAGAGAATCTCAGTTCTTTAACGCTGTCAGGGTTCAGTCTCCTTTGTGATTTTTGGCACTTTCATTAAGCAATTTATGCTTCAGTCATATTAACTCCCATAGGAACTATAAATAGCATTTATACAGCTAGTTCAGCATTTTGAATAATTAGTGTTTTCTAGAAAACACCAAAATCAGCTCCTAAATGGAATTGGCATAATCCTCTTCCACAGATACCTGTTAAAACAAGATACGTGTACCGTAATTTATTCTTTGAATGATTTGCATCAGTTTCTAAAGCAGAGAGTCACTGGATGATTCTTAGAAATACTGATGTGCTTTGATTGACATTCTTGGAATGATAAATGGCTGCTGCTGCTAAAGGGTCGCCTCACTTCTTAACCTTCTTTGTAGTTTGAGTAGTAGAATAGGATGTGTCTATTTGTGTGATGTTGCATCTAGTGAAGTGAACAAAATGCAATGGCTTTCAACCATCCTCAGTGCCTGGAAAATAGTGAATACCCACTAAATGTTCATCAAGTTTAAAAGGCAGTAAGAACCAGAGCTTGATTGTATATGGGAATATGATATTCAAATGTGTGCCAAAAAATTATAGGCTGTGTGTAAGAGAACTATGAACAAGAGAGATCAAAAACAAACAAAAATAACAGAACACATTGAAAAACAGGGATTAAAACAGAGCCTGTCACATATTTGAAATAGTTTGAATGCTATTTTTAATACTCTGTATTGCAAGGTTGAAGGAGCCCTGGAGGCGCAGCGGTTAAAGTGCTCAGCTGCTAACCAAAAGGTCATCGGTTCCAACTTACCAGCCTCTCCATGGGAGAAAGATGTGACAGTCTGCTTCTGTAAAGATTTACAGCCTTGAAAACTCTGTAGGGCAGTTCTCTGTCCTGTAGGGTCTCTATGAGTTGAAATTAACTTGACAGCAGTGGGTTTTTATTACAGGAATGAATCTGGGGTACAATATTTGACACTAAAACTAATGTCAATGTATATTCTCTTTCAGATTTACCAAAAATTTATCTCCTGACAAGATAAATCTGAGTACCCTAAAAGGAGAAGGTGAACTGAAGAATTTGGAGTTGGATGAAGAAGTGCTCCAGAATATGTTGGATTTGCCAACATGGCTTGCCATCAACAAAGTTTTTTGTAACAAAGCGTCCATTAGGGTGAGACTTTGAAGACCTTTGGAAAATCTGTGGAAGACCTTTTCTGTTTTCATTTTATCCCTATTTTTCAAAATAAATATTTTGTTTTAGATGATTTTCTAAAGAAACATTTTTATTAATATCATTTGGAAGGAATACCTTTGCATAAGTGGTTGCATGAGTGTGTGCCTTAGATCTTAATTGTTAAGTCCTATGTTTGTTATTAATTTGTTAAATTTAAATTTCATTTCATTAAAATTTAAATAAAATTGCTATTTATTAATTAACTTATTAATAATAGTACCATTGGTCAGCTTGGCATATTTTCACAGATAGTGTTTTTCGTTGGGTTTATTGTCAAACGGGACATCTTAAATTTTGTTGTGAATAAACACTATTTCAAATGAAGACATAAGAACTGATAAGTTATTTCTAACTTTGCACATTATACTTTTATTTGGAATTTTATCCCTTTTTTTTCTTCCTCATTTTGAGGATTTTTTAAATTTCCTATTTTTCATTTACTCTAATGACTTTTATTTCATTTGAGGTGTGAATCAGTTCTACTCAGAGCTGTTTGATAATTTTTCAACTTCATGTGATCTCTCAAAGCCTCATTTAGGAATCTTGTTAGATTCAGGTAAAGGGAAGAATTCTTGGATTCTTCATATTATTTCTTCTCCTTATTATTATTATTCTTAAATATTATAACATATTATTCCTGTTTATTTTTGTCTGTAATAATATGTTGGTTTGTATTACTTCTTGCCCTTATAAACCAGGTTTAGTTTGAGAGTATATTCATTAGAAATACTGCATGCTAATTTGTTTCATAAAATTTGAAAAAAAAATTAAAATTTGGACTCCAAAGAAAAGAATGTGAAAAGATACCTATACCTTTGATGGCAAGATAAGTAGATTGCCTTAGGGAAGGTCATTTTTAATTCTTGTCCTATCCACCATGAACCCACACGTCTACAAAGACGTGACGTTTTTAGTGCTGGGTATGTTTGATTATGATATATTTGATGTTGCCTACATTTTACATTAATGGCCTCATTTTTGTATTTGTGTTTATGCAAAAAGATTGATCAGAATTATAGGATGAAACAAATTGTTAAGTCAGTAGAATGCTGATAATGCTTTTCTGGGAAGTCTTAATTTAAATTGCGGATTTAAAATGATTCGAAGATTGGGGAACAAAGATATTTAAAGGAATCTGTAGTTTCTATTGGAAACGCTGGTGGCGTAATGGTTGAGAGCTACAGCTGCTAAACAAAATGTCGGCAGTTTGAATCCACCAGGCACTCCTTGGAAACTGTATGGTGCAGTTCTGCTCTGTCCTGTAGGGTCGCTATGAGTTGGAATTGACTCGACGACAATGAGTTTGGTTTGTTTTTTTTGGTATTTCCTATTTGAAAGGATGGCTAAGAAAATGCAACTAGTAATATTCTTTTAGAGAACAGGTGCGGTTTGTTTTTTTTGTTTTTTTTTTTTTTGGTAGTTCCTATTTGAAAGGATGGCTAAGAAAATGCAACTAGTAATATTTTTTTAGAGAACAGGTGCATCGATTTCAAAAATATGAATGAAGTGCTCATTTTACTATTTTGCAATTTAAGAAAAACAGTTATCATATAATTTGGTATGTCTAGCACTATATAAAAGAGCCCTGGTGGTGCAGTGGTTACGCGCTCAGCTGCTAATGGCTGTTCAAACCTACCAGTGGCTTCACAGGAGAAAAGACCTGGTGATCTGTTCCCTTGAAATTACAGCCTAGGAAACTATATGGAGCAGTTTCTAGGTGCCACAAATGGTTAAGCACTGGATTACTAGCCAAAAGATTGGTGTGAACCCACCTAGACACACCTTGGAAGACAAGCCTGGCAACCTGCTTCCAAAAAGTAACAGCCTTGAAAACCATATGGGGCAGTACCTCTCTACATTTATGGGGTTGACATGAGTTGGAATCGACTTGGCAGCAACTAACAGAAACACCATCATCACTATATAAAGAGAACATCAGTGTTGATTCAGTTTTACATTTTTTTTTTAATGATTGATTTTAAAGAATTTTTTTTTCCTAGATCCCATGGACTAAACTGAAAACACATCCCATCGCTTTGGTGAGTTTTGAAATAGCTCAAGAAATAAACATTTATATATACATAATATCTAACTACTATATTTTCTTGGCCTTTCCACTAATTATTTTTCATTTTATTTTGATGGGACTTAGATTTCTTAGTTCTTAAGTGACGAGTTTGAACTTTAAAATGGGAGAGTCTTTAAAGTTTTTCAGGACTAGAAGAGTATGTTCTAAGTTGGTTATATTTTATTGCATCATTTAACTCTTTACCATGGGGTTCTTTCTTTTTAATAACATTTGATCCAGACTTCTCTGCTCTACTGATTTAGTAAATTATATAATGTGTCCTTTAATATGCTTTGCTTTTTAAGGAAAATTGAATAAAATTGATCACTTGTTCATTTATTTATTTATTCCTTCCACAAAAATTTGTTGAGCACCTGCTCTGTGCCATGAGGGAATTTATGTTTTTATATTTTAACTAAGGAGACTGACAGTGAATAAATAAACAGATAAAATAGTTGCAGACAATAATAAATGCTATAAATAAAGTCAGGAATGAGAATAACTGGAGTTGTGTTAGTACTAGCTACTATCTTAGTTACCTAGTGCTACCTTAAGACAAATACCACAAGTGAGTGGCTTTAAAGAACAGAAATTTATTTTCTCATAGTTCTGTAGGCTAAAAGTCCAAATCAGGGTCTTAGCTGTGTCGATTTCTTCCTTGTCAGTCGCCCCAGGTGTTCCTTGGTTTCTTAATGATCCTCACATAGTACCTCCCCATGTGTGTGTCTGTGTGTCTGTCTGTGTGTCTGTGTGTCTGTCTGTCTGTCTGTCTGTCTGTCTGTCTCTGTACCCACTCCTCACTTGTTGACATGGTTAGGTTCCAAAGACCAGGTCGTTATGCAGAATCGGCATTGTGCGAAAATCTGGGTTATGTGAAAATGGAGGATGACCATATCAGGTCACAGAAATGGAGGACGACTACATCATTACGTAACTGCCAAATTGCATCATTACATAATTGCCAAGTTACATCATTTTATAACTGCCAGACCACTGAGAATCATGACCCAGCCAAGTTGACACATAACTATCTTAACCATCACAGCCAGTGTTACTCTCACCTCACACCTCGGCGTTTGTTACTGCCAAATGTATGTTGTTAATGTGCAAAATAATCAGATAAATTTTTTACTTTTGATTTTATAGTTTTTTTACTATTGTCATAAATGCAAAATATTGGATAACGAGATAGTAAATGAGGAGTAGGTGTAATTTGTTCTATTTATAACTCTGAAGTGATTAGGTGTAGAACCCACCCTACTTGGGTATGATTTAATTAGCACAACAAAACCCTATTTCCAAGCAGGATTATATCCATAGATATAGGGGTTAGGATTCCAACACTTATTTTGGGGAATACAGTTAAATCCATAACAGCTACTTAAGGAGTTTAGGTCTTTCTTCAAGAAAAAAATGTTCCCCTGAGAAAGAACTTTTTCGATTATGTGAGTATTTATTTTGTCATATTTCCTGCCTATTTAATATTTTTCATAGTGATGTCTCATCTCAGGACTTAAATTGGGATAAGCTTTTTGGGAACTGTTCAGTCTTATCTATTAATATATAATCTTTATTTATCAGTTAATAATATAATTTGTTCTGGGATTAAAGATTGCACTTCCCTAAAATCTGATGATTCCCAAGCCTTACATGGCTACTTCTTACAGTTTTTTTTCTTTCATACTCATGTGTTGTACACAGCTTTTCTATCAGATAGAAAGTGCTTTGAGAAAGGACAGAGCACATTATTTTCTTTTTTGGTGTTTGTTTTTTAGACCTTTAGAGAAATACTTAAAATGACTCTGTTCACTTGCTGTTTAATTTGCTTCTAAAGAAATGAAACAGAAAATAATCGTAAGTAATATTTTCATAACATAGATAAAGATATCTAATTGTTTATATTTTTAATGTATTTTTATTAGTCCCTGGATAAAGTAATAATGGAAATGAGTACATGTGAAGAACCACGAGCCCCTAATGGCCCATCACCCATTGCAACTGCTTCAGGACAAAGGTAAGCTATTTCCATTGATCTGTAGGAGTGACAGATCTGTAGTCTGCTCTGTTATCTGCATTAATAGGACATAAAGAAAATCCCCTAACCTCAAAGGCTCTCTCTTTTCAGTCATTTCTCCCATTTAAAAAAAAAAAAATTTTTTTTTTTTTAATATAACAAAGCAGAGGTTTATTTCTCACATAAAGTCAATATGTAGCTGAGAGTGGGGGCTAAGGGGTTAAACCTCTCTCCAGATGATCATGGCTTCTGCCACCTTCAACATGGAGCCTCCGAGGTAGCCCTAGGTTTTGACCCCAGCTAGCAAATGGGAAAAGAGAGAGAGGATGACCTATAGGAGTTTTTTATGATTCAGGCCTGGAAGTGAAACTGGAAGTGAAACACATCAATCCAACACACTTACTGCAAGAACGACTGAGAAACATGATGTCCTTCCAGCCTCCAGTCTCTCTTCTCTCTGATCTTTCTTTGCAGTGCATCCAAGTACCTGACATACATTCTTGTACATAAACCCTCTGCCTGACCTATGAGACGCTTCACATCTGGCTCCTGCCAACTGTTTGTCTTCATTTATTGCCCTCTCCCACATAAACAGTATGTCACAAACTACTCCCTATTTCCTAGATACACAGTACCTTCTTGTGTCTGTAGGTCAGGGCCAACAAACTTATTCTGTAAAGGCCCAGATAATAAACAGTTTAGGCTTTGCAAGCCATTGGATCTCTGTCACAGTTGTTCAGCTCTGTTCTTGAAGTGTGCAATGGAATAGATAATAAGTAAACAAATGGATATAACTAACTTCCAATAAAACTTTATGTATAAAAACAGGTGGTGAGTGGATTTGGTCATGGCCTGTAGTTTGCTGACCTGCTCTATTTTTTTTTTTAATTTTTGGTGAAAATATACACAACAAAACATACACCTGTTTACCAATTTTTACATGTACAGTTCATTAACAGTAGTTAGATTCTTCACATTTTGTCACCATTGTCACTATTTCTGCCCGTATTGTTTCACTACCATTACTTTGTGCCTCTTAAAGTTCTCATCTGTACTTTAGAGTTACTGTTAATCACTTCAGTCTCAAATCGGTAATTCTTTAGTAGGGTGCAGTGCTGAAGACAGACATTATTTATTGAGCTAAGTCGTTGTTTAGTTTAAAGATGACTTCATGGGATAGTTTCAGCTCAAGTTTCAGAAGTTGTTTCCAGGCAATAGATTCAGGTCCCATTAAATATTTTACAATTTTAGTTTTTTACAAGTTGCAAAAATAGCGGATTTGATTTTTAGCTTCTCTTGTGCATCTTGCTTTTCATGCTCTTAAATGGTATCAATTAGCCAAAGGCAGTGTAGCAGCAGAAGATGGAAGCAGAAGAGCTTAGGTATTCTTTAAATCAGCCTCTAAATAGTTTTTTTGCATTATCACTTTCTGTGCATCGATAGAACTTTTATGACTCTTATGACTTAAGTTGATGTCTTAATAAATTATAAACCTTTTGGATTACTCTAAGATTCACTAAATATAAAATGTTCTCACTTTACACAGTAAATATACACAGACTGGATTAGGATAGATAAAAAATCACATGCTAATAAGTAGAAGCACGGGAGCTGCTTCATAAAGTCTTCTTGAAAAGTTCGAATAGTCCTTTAAAAATAAAATTGCCTGTTTATTTTTGCATGCAATAAATCGTTTCCTTAAAACGAGATTTCTGCATTATTTTTGGATTGTGCAACTATTCACAGTAGAATGTTCATGTAGTTTTTAATGTGACTGGTGCCTCGTCAAGTGGCACAGCATGGCACACCTGGACATCTAATGTGTTCTAATGCTAACCAAAAGATCGGCAGTTCAGTCCACCAGCTGCTCCTTGGAAACCCTATGGGGCAGTTCTCCTCTGTCCTATAGGGTTGCTATGAGTCAGAATCGACTCCACAGCAACAGGTTTGGGATTTTTGGTTTAGGTGCTGTGTAAAACAGTAAAACTCCTCTTGAGGGTGAATACACACACTCACACCCTCCTTCTCGTTCACAAAGATTGGACCATCTTTGTATTACTGTATTCTATGAGAATGCCTACAGTCTGATCAATGGCTTTCCGTATGGGAATCTAAGGTGATCCGTTCCATTGCTAAAAATTGACTGAATGCTAGATTTATCAGATGTACAATTTGTATTTGGACTACAGGTAACAATGACTGGAAAAAGAGCTTTCAGATGAACTCCTTTGCAGTTCATTTATTATCTAGCAACTTGAGATTTTAAAGTTTAGATTATGATTCCAGGTTTGATAGCATGGATTGGAGCGTTTGGTCTTTAGAGTGGCTAAAATTCTTGCCTTTGAATTGTGGTGTTGGCAAAGAGTATTGAATATACCATGGACTGCCCGAAGAACAAACAAATCTATCTTGGAAGAAGTATAGCCAGAATACTCCTTAGAAGCAAGGATGACAAGACTTCATCTCACGTGCTTTGGACATGTTATCAGGAGGGCCACTTCCTGGATAACGACATCATACTTGGTAAAGTAGAGGGTCAGCGAAAAAGAGGAAGACCCTCAACGAGATGGATCGACACAGTGGCTGCAACGATGGGCTCAAGCATAACAACGATTATGAGGATGGCGCAGGACCAGGCGGTGTTTCATTCTGTTTTACATAGGGTTGCTATGAGTTGGAACTGACTCCATGGCACCTAACAACAACAGAATCAAAAAGAATTGGAGAAGAAGTAGAGATGCTTTTAAGATTATTGAAAGAGGAAAAGAAAACCAGGGAAATTGGTATTAAGGAAAGTTATTTTTATAAGTGTGGCAGAGATGAGCCATTTTATCAATGTGGGCAGAGTATAGTTGGTAATATTCACCCTAATTCATGTTTTCATACTGGCAATAAGTTTTATAATTTTGGCTTTGTAATCGTATGATGATAATCTTTGTATTTTGAAATGGCAGTATAGTTAATCTATTTCAGTGTTCTCCAGCCTCACTTGATTGTTAACAATCATTTAGGGTACTTATTAAATCTACAGATTCTTTTAGGCCCCTTTCTCTTAAAATTGTGATTCAGTAGGTCTGGAATGGGGATCAGGAATAAGTATTTTTAATAAATGTCCTACATGACTCTTTCTAGTCATACAACTTAGGGAAACACTCATCTATTTGATGTATTTTCTAACTAAAATTTGAAAATAGAGAGAAATTAACAGACTGGCTATTTAGGCAGTTCCTGTGGGCTGACAGTGCTTCCACAGATTAATGGTCTAAAAAAACCAAATCCAAACCATTGCCATTGGATCAATTCCAACTCATAGCAACCCTGTAGGACAGAGTAGAACTGCCCCATAGGGTTTCCAAGAAGCGGCTGGTGGATTCGAACTGCTGACCTTTTGGTTAGTAGCCAAGCTCTTAACCACATTAATGGTCTAAAACCCAAAAACCAAACCCGTTGTCATCAGTGGATTCCAACTCATAGCAACCCTATAGGACAAAGTAGAACTGTCCCATAGGATTTCCAAGGAACGGCTGTTGGATTTGAACTGCTGACCTTTTGGTTAGCCACCGAGCTCTTAACCACTTCGCCACCAGGGCCCCATTCATGGTCTAGTAAACATAGCATAAATTCAGAAATATGATTTTATCACTTCACATGAAGTAAATAAAGATCTATGTGAAGATTAATCAAACTTAGAAACACTTATTTGTAAACTAAAATTCCAGCTTTTTAATTTACCATGGACACTGTAACCAGAAAAATGTAGACTTTAGTCATTGATTCAGGCTGCCATCTTCTGACAGTAGGTACGCCAGTATGGACTGTAACATTTTTTTTTTCATGTGCATAGAATTAGAACAGAGGGTTGGATGTTCCAAAGGTTGTTCCAGTATAATTATTACAAAGATATCTTTCCTACTCTGGGAATATATCTATCTAAATGACCAATATTTGTCCTTAGGATTAAAGTAACTGCTCCCTAAGACATTGATGAGTTCTTGCTCCTCAGTTCTTAGTTTTCTAAACTCACAGTAGACTACCACCTCTTTTTATAAAGAATTACCTCAGGCCTGCTGAGTACTATTTAAGGTACTACACATAACGTTTCACTTAAGGACCAGAGCACCCTTTTGAGGCAAGTATTATTTCCATTTTATAAATGAGGGAATTGAGGCTCAGAGATTTTAAATTGTTTATTAATAATAATATATTACTATTAGGAATTATGTGGAGCCTTGGTGGCTCAGTGGTTAAGACCTCAGCTGCTAACCAAAAGATCAGCAGTTGAAATCTACCAGCTGCTCCTTCAGGGAAGTTCTACTTTGTCCTATACAGTTGCTATGAGTTGGAATCCATTCGATGGCAGTGAGTTTGGTTTTGTTTGGTATTAGTCATCATGAATAATAATTATGTCTTCTAAAGTCTCGTAGGTCAAGCAATGGACTATTTGGTTTATATACATTATTTCATGTAATCCACTTAATAACTCGAAAGTATTACTTGGTTTAAAAGGTTAGAAAGGTTAAGTAATTTACTCATTAAATGAATAATTTCTATGATAAGGATCACACACAAAGCTGGTTCCTGTGAGGCGAAGGTAACGTTGTCCCAAATGTCCAGCCTTTCCAAACTGCTGTACCACTCCATCATCTCTCACATCAGCTACTCCCTCTCTCCTCAGTACTCCCTCCTGTCTTTGCATTTCCTAATTCCCTGCAATGTCTCACAGAACTCACAAACCCTATAAAGAAAACGGCTCACGCAGTTGAGGAGGCTGGCAAGTCCCAAATCCGTGGGTCACATATAGGCTTCTCCCGACCCACCTGGGTTCAGGGGCTGATGAACCCAAACCAGCAGTTCAGACCACAGGCTGCTGGCTCACAAGGCTGCAGACGCTGGCGAATCCCAGAATTGGCAGGTCAGACAGCAGGCCTCTGGTTCAAGTCCCAGGAACCAGAGGTCAATCAATCATGAACGAGACACAGGATCCAGATGCAGAGAGAAAGAGCCTCGCCAGGACACAGACATATTTCTTAGATGCAGGCCACACCCCAGGAAAGGGCGTAACTTTAGAAAGGGTGGGACTTGAGTCACGCCATCCTGCAAGGCTGAGACCCAAAACACACTGTACACCAATCCTGCGTCATCAACATGTAGAGGTCAGGATCCACAGCACATAAAATGGAGGACAATCCTACAATCATGGCCTAGTCAATTTTACACATAACTCCAACCATCACCAGTTCCATATACCTTATTTGTATAGTCCCACTCAGTCCTTGTGTGTGAGTCACAGAGACCATGGCCAGAAGGGCTGTATTAAGTAATTTATTGCACAGTACTCGTTCATTAAGATAGTAAATTAAGATGAGCAGCAGCAGGTGTAGGTAAGGTTAGTGAATGATGGGTAAAGATGATTAGTTCACTTTTAGACATTTTGGGTTTGAAATGTGTGAAGGGCAGCCAGCTGCAGAGGTCTGGTGGACAGTTGAAGTTTTTACAGTCTGAAATTTCAGCGAAAGATCTCTATCAGAGACAGTGATTTAGGAATAATGGGCATATTGATGATAATTGAATTAATCTCCCGATTGGGCAAAACTTTCTCCACCTTTCCTGCCAAAATATATTGATAGTTTATATTCTAGTCATACTACACTACTCATCATTCTCTAAACGTGACTTCTCCTTACTGCCTCTCTCTGCCTTTGCTTATGTTATTCTCTATTCTAAGATTTCCCATGCTTCTCATCTCTCCCTGTTGAAAGTTCATCCTTCTTTACTAGGTGTATTTCTCCCTAATTATAAGCAATTTCTTCCTCTCTTCACCGAGTACACGGTTGGTTCTTTTTTAAAGCACTAAGTTACAGACTACTTCATGTTATAGTTGCTAGGATATGTGTTTTTTCCCTTCCCAAGTAACTTGTAAGCCCTCTGTCTTAATTATCTAGTGCTGCTATAACAGAAATACCATCAGTATTTAACAAACAGAAGTTTGTTCTCTCACAGTCTAGGAGGATAGAAGTCCAAATTCAGGGTGGCAGCTCCTGGGGAAGGCTTTCTCTTTCCCTCTCTGTCAGTTCTAGGGGAAGGTCCTTGTCATCAGTCGTCCCCTAGTCTAAGAGCTTCTCAGCGCAGGTTCCCCAGGTCCAAAGGACACACTCCCCTCCTGGTTCTTCATTCTTGGTGGCACGAGGTCCCTTTCCTCTCTGCTTGATTCTCTTTTTTATGTCTCAAAAGAGATTGACTCAAGATACACCCTAATCCTGTAGATTGAGTTTTGCTTCATTAACATAACTGCCTCTAATCCTGCCTCATTAACATCATAGAAATTAGAATTTACAACACATGAGATAATCAAGCACCTCACATCACAAAATGGTGGGCAACCACATGATAACTGAGAATCATGGCCTAGCCAAGTTGACACACATTTTTGGGGAACACAGTTCAATCATGACACCCTTTAATGCTGCAACTAAATTTTGACTTGCCTTATGTCCCATCGTCATTCCCATGGTAGATACTCAATATTTTTTAATTGAAGTATAGGATGTGAAAATTTTCTAACTTATTCCTGAATTATCAGCATATATCCCAGTTGGACTGTATAGTCTTTTTTATATGGGGAATTTAGCTCTGTTAATTACTTATCGATACTAGTGGTTTAGACTAATGCTTTTTTAAAGTAATCAACTTGATTTTAATAGTTTAGAGAGTAACCTACAGTTTTTCAATCGTTTATCGTTTTGAGAATAACATTTTTATTACTTACATGTGACTACTATATTATTGTTTTAACAAAAATTGTGTCCTTTTTTAAATAAAAATATACACTATTATTACACTATTATGCCAGATTATGGGTATTTGTGTGAAAATATTAAGTGATTTTTCCTCTTTTAATGTTTTTTTTTTTTTAATTGAGTGCATTATATTTTGTTTTGCTTTGTTTTTCCAGTGAATATGGCTTTGCCGAAAAAGTAGTCGAGGGTATTACTGTTTCTGTAAATTCCATTGTCATCCGAATTGGAGCAAAAGCCTTTAACGCATCTTTTGAACTTTCCCAGCTTCGGATATATAGTGTAAATGCACACTGGGAACATGGAGATTTAAGATTTACTCGTATTCAAGATCCACAGAGAGGAGAGGTAAAGATTCTTTTCTTTTTTTTTTATATCCTTTAAAAATATTTTAAGCACCGCCCCCCCCTCCCCCCCCCGCAAAGAAAAAAAAACTGTTGCCATCAAGTCGATTCCGACTCATAGCAACCCTACAGGACAGAGTAGAACTGCCCCATAGGGTTTCCAAGGAATGGCTGCTAGATTCGAACTGCCGACCTTTTGGTTAGCAGTCAAATGCTCAACCACTGCGCCACCAGGGCTCCAAAAATGTTTTAGTCAGTGATAAACAGGACATTTAAAATAATCACTTCTTATAGTTGCCAGATTCACATAGTACTAAATTTATCCTTCTTGCTGTTTAACCATACTTTTCTCCGTATTATTCTTAATCATTTAATTATAAAATGTGCATATTTTAATTTTTTTTACTATAATCTTTCAGTGTATAGAATTAATGAGCTCTGTTTTACCTTCTCAGCCATTTAGAATTAAATTTTAAATTAAAAAAACTGGAATATGTTATTTAAATTCTCGGTCACCGCATTCAAATACTCTTGTACTTTATATTAATTAAATTACTTACTTAGAATAAAAATATTATCAGCTTTGCAGATGACAAATGTAATTATGAAAATGTATTACTGAATTTTATGTAAATATACATTTAAAAAAAATAAAAGCATGGTGAATACATCTAGGGTGTCATATGAAAATTAGTTGAGATTCATTTTTATTTCCCTTATTGTTTTTACAGATGTACATTTTTATCATTCTGTTTTGCATAAATAAATGAAGCTACTCTGTGCTTTCTTTAGGTTTTGACATTTAAAGAAATTAACTGGCAGATGATTCGAATAGAGGCAGATGCTACTCAAAGTTCGCATCTTGAAATTCTGTGTGCTCCTGTTCGATTAATAACCAATCAATCAAAAATCAGAGTCACGCTAAAAAGAAGAGTAAGTAACAGGGTTACTCTTTTTATTTATGTGGTAACTATTGGAATTGACAGGAAATTTTAAATAATTCTTAGGTGAGATGTTGGCATGCTTATTGTGGTTAGCTGCCATTGAGTCAGCTCTGACTCATGGAAACCATATATGTAACAGAACAAAATGTTGCCCAGTCCTGCACCATCTCCATGATCTTTGATTAGCATGCTCAAACCAAAAAAACCAAGCCCCTTGCCACTGAGTTGATTCCTACTCATAATGACCCTATAGGTCAGAGTGGAATTGCCCCATAGAGTTTTCAAGCAGCAGCTGGTGAATTCAAACTGCTGACCTTTTGTTTAGCAGTTGAGCTCTTAACCACTGCATCACTGAGCTGGATTAGAATGCTACCAGTGGCATATTACAACAATTCAAAGTAAAGGGGGATATAGTGCTTCAAGCAATATTTGTAGAAATCCACTGTAATTATAACATTCCTCTGTCTTCTCAATTTAGTATCTAGATTTTTCAGAGATTTTTATATTTGATGAATATGTTTCTCAGTTGCTGAATATTTGTTGAACATTAATTGCCTTGATTAATTAAGACAATTTTCATTTCTCCTATGGAGTCTTGCTTGGGGTAAACAGTAAAGCCTTCATTGTTGATAAGCAAAATGATTAGCTTGGGAGGTTATTAAGGTATGACTGGTAATTTAGATAAATAGGAAAGATAGTTACTTAAGGATTTCATAATTTTCTGTGAAGGATTTGTCAGAAGTTGAGCATCCACTGTGGTTTGTGATGAACTTGATTGAGGAAATGATGAATTTTTTTAAAATCATGTCTCAATTAAAAGTCTTAACAATATGTTTTGTAGCACTAGATACAAATAACTATACTGATTTAAACTTAAAAAAATTTTTTTAGAGGATAGCACTTAACACAGATATTCTGAAATGTAAAATGTGGTTCAAATAGCATTTCAGTTTGTAATTAATCTTAATTTCCTTTTATCTACTAGAATTAGGTGGATTAATAAAGGAAATTATATGATTTATTAACTATAAATGCAAAATTAAATTATATGGTACTTATTTATGTAAGTGCTGTATAACTTACTACCAGTTATAGTACAAGGAATTGGTCTTTTTCCCACTGTATCTCTAGTACTAGGAGTTATTCCTCACATGTTACAGGAATGAAGTAAATACTTGTTGAAGGAAGGACCCATATTTAATTCCGTTAAATTTTTTTAAGCTTTTTTTATACAAGTGCGTTGTAAATTTAATTTCTTGGTTTAATTTTATAAATGATTTTTCCTGACAGTTAAAGGACTGCAATGTCATAGCAACAAAATTAGTTCTAATATTGGATGACTTATTATGGGTTTTAACGGATTCGCAGTTGAAGGCCATGGTACAATATGCAAAATCTCTTAGTGAAGCAATAGAAAAATCAACAGAACAAAGGAAGAGTATGGCTCCTGAACCTACACAGGTATGCTGTTAACAGGAGAAAAAAAAAAACAGAACTTATTTTACGTGTAGTTTTTAAAAAAATCAGAATGGTTCATTGGTATTTTCTTTATGTGAAGTAGATTGTATGACTTTGAGTCCAAGGATCTCCTTTATCTAGATATCTTACGACAGAATTTTATATACATAGTATCTATATGAAAACATATATTAAATGTGTTTGTATCTATATAGTGCTTATTTTGTTTGGAGCTGTGTATTAGTGCTGTAGTTAATAATGATATAAAAGTATTTGATGTTATAAAACCTCTTTTTAGAAAGTTTAAAAAATACAATTTTAAAACTACCGTATCAAAGGTAGAAAGGAGACAAAAACCTGAGTAAGTACAGGTAAGGGAGGCAGTGGGAGAATTAATAGTGCAGAAAACTAAGGCTGTGGGCAAGTGCTGAAGTTGAACACTAAAGTGCTGTTAGAGTTCTCATGGCTAGGGCAAAAAGAGGAGCAGCATAATGAGCTACTTAATAGTCATTTTTTAAAAAATTAGAAGCATTACATTACTAGTTTGTTTGAAGAGAAAATGGTTTTTTAGTCTTTCCAAATACTAAACTTTGAGATTTTAATATGAAGATCTTTTAAGAAGGGGCATTGAAAATCGCAGTGAGTGGTGTCTTTGATAACAATTTTATAAAAAAGCACAAATGAATTTTTATATTTATTTTATCTACCCCTGATAAAAACTTAAGGGATATTGTGAAATTGTATTTCTATGAAGGTGTTTCTTTGCAAGCAAATAATATATCCCAGGTATAAAGTGGGAATGTGGGGGACTATAGAAGCACAGGGAAGTTTTTTTTTTTTTTTTTTTTTTTTT